CCGATGCGTGGGCGATTGCGCAAGGCCATACACAGTGCCACCCACAATAGGCAAGGATTGCAGCCAGGTAGAAGTGATAACCACCCGACCAGAAACATATTCAGCACCAGGCCAAGCAATACGAATTTCCTTGGTTGGCGCAGAGGAGACAACAGCAACTCCAGACCAAGTGCCCGCATCTGAAGTAGCCGAACGAGTTGGAACAGGAGCTCCAGGAACAAAGAATGCATCACGATGAGCACGCTGAGATTCATACCGGAGCGCTGAACGAAATTGCCTTTGACCAGCAAGAGACAGTTGAGTTTCTGTGTAAGCCCAAAGGCCTGCTGGCTGCTGAACCACAAGGTCAGCTCGATGCAAAAGTCCTGCCACATTAGCAGTGCCAATAAGGAATTCAAAGGCCTCCTCACTGTCCGGGCCAGGATGCCGCGCCTCACCCACACGGCGACAATCACCAACACCATAGAGAAGGCTCAAAACCACAAAGAACCAGCGAAATGTGAAAGGTCTAGGAGAGGTATGTCGCTGAGCAAAACCTCCCGACCGAGATAGTCAAGAAGCCTGACCAGTTTTCTGCCTCTTTTCGGCAAACAGGGACTCCAAGCGAGCAGTTTGTGCATCCATAGCAGCCTGAAGGTCATTCTTGACAGAACTATGCAAGGTCTGCATCTGAGTTTGCAACGAGGTAGAGGCCTGCACCTGCGTCTTCATGGCATCACCAAGTTCAGCAATTTGCGAGCCCTGTTGATGAAGATGTGTCTCCAAGGCACCGATGCGGTCACTGGCTTGATTGAACCATTGATCATATTTCCGATGCTGTGCACGCATCTCAGCAATCTCAGAAGTGATGCCCTCTGCAACTTCATTCGACATGGTTGCATCCCCTTCACCACTATTCTCAAGCTTTTGCTCAAGCTCAGAGACCTTGGATGTCAATGTAGACAATTTGGTGCGGGCTTCCTGGGAGGCCTTGCCACGATTCTCAGTGAAGACAACCTGATCCTTGGCAACCGTGATGGGTTGATAGCGACTCCATGCAGCAGCCTTCCATGGATCATCCCCAGTGGTCCAAGAGTCATGCGGCTCAGTGGTAGAAGAAGATGAAGAAGGAGCAGTAGAGTGCATCTTCTGCAAAGTCTTGGTGGCTGCCTGCACATAGGGCTTGGCTTTTACTGAACCCTGCGCTTCACGACGATGTGAGACAGTGATCATGCCTTGATCAGTTGGCATGATACCGGACTTGGGGGGCTCTTCAGCACCAATCTCCCAAAACTGCCCCAGAGAGGTTGAGCGCAATGGTCGCAGAGGGCGAGCTTTCCAGTTCCAAGCCTTGAGAAGGTCCGCAATCTTGTCACGATGAAGACCAAAAGGCAAAGGACCTGCTTCATACGTGTGCTTGACCACACACGGCCTCACACAAGAGTCAGGAAAGATGACCTTGATAGTAGCTTCTTCATCTTTGGCTCGAACTCTCACACCAAGCTTTTGTCGCATACGTGCCAGGCCAACTACCTGATCGAGTTGGCGCTTCCATTTGAAGGCATCATCAACACTTGCATTTCTAGGAAGCCACACCACAGCAAAGCGCTGAGAAGAAGGAGCTGTTGGCAGCGGACGGGGTTCAATGAAGACTCCATTCCAGCCACTATGCGAAAGAAGATCCATGAGACCTGAAGCAGGAACACGTAGATAGACCGAAAAGATGTCAGCCTGAGCCATCTTGCATGGCTTTGCATCTGAAGTGAGCCATTGCCATTGCCATACATCAAGGAGCGCTGTTCGAAGCTCTTCTTCCACAGAAGGATGGAATTTGGCACATTGTTTGCCACAATCTTTACCAGGGCAGAACTGGAGAGATTCCACCGCACCCACAAGAGCCTTGACCGGGCCAGCCACGAAGGTAGGCCACTCTTCTAACGGATATGCATCTCTAAAGACTTGCACCCGAACTACTGCAGTGTCCACAGCATGCACAACAGGGGCATCAGCAGTTTTCAGTAGCTTGATTTCAACATCTCCAAGTTGAAGAAGGGTTCCTGTGAGCAATGCTGGCTCCTTCGTAGGTCGATAGATGACCGGGTACTGGATGACACTAGCTGCATGGTGCTGAAAGGCATTGGAGTGATCACCAACAACCAGGACAGCCAGGGCATCAATGGAAAGGTTCTGATCATTGTCATCCAGCTGCTTCGCCATTTCGGGAGTGACTATGGCAATTCCTCGTGCATCACTGACAAGCTCTTTAACACCAATGGTTGCCACAGATTCCCCATCTTTGTCAACAAAAGATCTGGAAGAAGCTCTAAATGCTCTGGGCAAAGGTGGAGTTCAGGCAGCGCTTTGCGACCAGGCAGCTGTCCCTTTTTGCCTGTAGAGGCACCGTGCTTGGTAGATGCTCGAGCAGCAATGTGTGCCTGCAACTCATTATAGAGGACAAACTGAAAAGGTCTGCCTTGTAGGGGCTGTATCTGCTTGAGGGCACGCCAAGGATCTGGCGCAAGCAGAGCCTTCTGAATGGCGGGACCGCCAAGCTTCTTGATGGCCAAAGTTGCACGATCACGAACAGAACTGTCAGGAACTCCTTTCTGTGCAAGGATTTGGCAAAGCGATTCAACCATGGCAGCATCTTGAGGTCCACAAGCTCTTCGATTCTGTCCACAGAGGAGAAGCTTATGCCAAGCCACATAACGCTCTTCATCACAGGTCGTGTCATGACCAAGCGCGAGAAGAAGATGCCCCAGCGCAATTGCACCACAATGAGTACCATACGTCTGCGAGATGTGACTCTCAACCTTCAACTGATACGAGTCACAACCCCAAGCAAGCATGAAGCGATTGCAGAGGATCTCAAGGTCAAAGGTGTTGGCCGTGGGACATCCGTCATAGCAGGTAGCACAAAGGCCAGTGCCAGAACGCTGCAAAGAAAAGAGCTGCCAATGATAGTTGGTCCAAAGGATCCCAAAGTGCTTGGCATTCAAAGTCTGCGATCGAGAACGAATTTCTGCCAGGGCACCAGCCACATAGGAGTCAATCAAGCAGGTCACATGGCGAGGACCCCAAAATATGTGATCAGGTGCAGCATGGCGGTCAAAGATAGCCTGTCCCTGAACAGTCATAGTAAGATCATCAAGCCCTTTGGAGACCCAGAGAATGGGACAACCACCTGGCTGTGCAGGTCCAAAAGCAACCCTTGCCTGCAATCTCGAATCGTTAAGAAGATCTTGAGGATCAAGAAGATGCTCACCAGCAAAAAGCAACGGAGGCTCAGTGCCCAGCAAGCGCGCTTCAGCAAGTTGAACTTCATGAACACAAAGAGGTTGACGTGTCACAAAGGTCACATCTGGCTCATCCTCTCTCTCAACATGGAAAGTGCGAGTGCAATGCATTGACCTCACAGGCCATCTCTGGTGATGTGAGTGGAGCACATGCCCAAGAAATGCCTTCAAAGCCTCACTCTTCGAGCATGTCTGAACATCCCATGCTTGTAGAAGGTGCTGAGCCATCCAAAAAGCCTGAATTGGGGATGCAATTTGCCCCAGAAGAGGTAAATCAGTGCGCGCCGGATGAGCATACTGCCAAGTTCCCGGTAGGCCAAGCAGCAAAGCAGCCTCAAGCGGGTGAAGATGGCGATCATCAACATTCTCCCATTGCGACTGCATCAGCACTCCATGAAGCCCTTGTGTTTGCAGAAGCTCGTAGGAAAGTGGTCCCCTGCATCCACAACTGCAATGAAAGATTTGATGTCCCATGGAGTGGAGCAAAGTAGGGCATAGTCCATTCAGATTCAGGTGCCGGTTGGTGTTGCCAAAGGATTCATCAGCAAAAACCTGTCTTTCAATGGGCCGCAGCTTCAAATCCAGCTCTTCTTGCAAGGTCCATGCAGGAAAGAACTTGAAAAGGTCACGGAGGGAGTAAGGCGGTTGATGAATGTCTAAATCAGAAAGCTCAGGCATAGAGAAAGAGGAGGGCAAAAGAATAGCCCACCACCTCTCCCGTCGTGCTGGCCACACTCGATTCAGATGCAACGTCACATCTTTCCACTGAAAATCACGGAGCTGGCAATACTTATTTAGAGTCTCAATGACAAGGGGATGAGATCCTGCCCCTTTGACACACTCCAAAACTAGCCATTGGGATTGCAAAATCAGCGAAAGATCTAGCAAACGAAAAAAGCACTTCGATCGAGGATCATCGAACCGCAGTCTTGCACCCAAGTTGCCAAACGGCTGACAAGGAAAGCCAGCTAGCAATCCAGCGGAGACTTCACCAGCAGCAAGATGAATTTGCAACCAGTCATGACGTTCACATACATCAGCAAGCAGCGGCTGGACATGCTGATTTCTGCCAAGACTCTCAATCGCAATGGATTTGTGATCCACTGCAAGCAAGGGTTCAAAGCCAGCAGCAGCGAAACCAAATGTAGTGCCTCCAAGGCCAGAGAAGATCTCAATGAAGCGCCGAGTGCTCGAAAGGTCAGGCTTACGATGTGGCACGGTCCACGAATTGGGGGTAGCAGAAACTGAAACAACTCCTGCCCTTGAAACTTTCTCAATCCGATACAGGTGGAGCGAGACCAGCAGACCCTCATGCTGATGTGTCACTCGAAACACCTGATTGGTGTAGGGGTTCAGCAGAACCCCATCAGACCGTCTGGCCACAACAAAAGATCCAACCTGCCCCTCATCATCGGGGGAAAGCACCGCAGTGAGAAACGGATCCATGGAAACACACAGGCTCACCTTCGCCGTCTACACTGCACTAGCTGTAAAGTCTGAGCCACGCAGCTTATATATATATATATATAAATTTGCTCCTCGAGTTAGAAGGAGGACACATTGATGTCATGGGTTCCACCCAGAGGACTTTTGATTATTTCGCTGCAATTCAATCCTGAGCTGTGACTGAACCAAAGTGGTTTAAAAGTTGGGGTCTCTTTTGGGCCTACCACACTTGACCACTTGCCAAGTGGCTTGACATGGCTTGAGCCACTCAAAACTGAGGAAAAGCAAAGATGGGAAAGGCAAAGGCAAAGGGAAGTCCGAACCGGAGAAACCATACCTCGTGGTGGACGCTGAGTTGGGTGCAGGTGTGGAGCTCACGGCCACCTGCTGGGGTATGCACGTGGACCTGGTGGAAGAGAAGCCTGGGCAACCACACCTCGTCGCAGGGTCTACCATCACCGCGATTGGTGGCCACAACTTGCTGGGCTTGGCAGATGAGGCGCATGAGGGGTTATGGTGGGCAAGAGGTTGCTTTGCCAAATGTTTCAATGTAGTGCTTCAAGGTACTAGAGTGCTGTTGTGTGCACAACTTTGCCAAAAGCGTCCCAGGTGTACATCAACCCGTCCCACTCACCACCCACCCACAATGTCCTTAGTTCTGCAGATGAAAACGGCCGGAGATGGCCCACTGCAGGATGCAGTGGCCACCGCCTTTGGAGAGCACTTCAAGCACGAGGCGCTCATCGATGTGGACCCTGCCACTTTTGAGACCTTAGAGCTGCCTCCAGAGGCGTCCACATGGCCATTGAGCTTTCAAGAAGATTTGGAGATGTTGGCGAACAAGTTGCTTAGCAAAATGATTTTGGGATTGGGCAAAGGATGAGCACTAGTAGCACTAGTTGAATCTCCGGCTATGATGGCAGGCTGGTTTACGAAGATCGCGAAGACTTGTGATTTGCTCATGCCACATCAGGGAAATAACAGACAATGCAAATCTAGGCGATTCCAGAAGTGGCTAGCATGGTGCCAATGCTTGCCACATTTTGCCACCATAGTGCTCCGAACAGACGTGGATGCCCAGGTTTAGCTGGACGTCATGCTTGTTTGGGCAGTCCATGAATCCAAACTGGCTCGTGATTCCTTTTGTGGTAGCCACAAGAATGCATGCTGTTGTCCACGCATGCATTGCGGAGCGCCGATGTTGTGGTGCGACGCTACCATTGTGCATCTATCTTTCTAATAGTGTCAGGCCCGGCAAATCAGCCCCCCCTCCCCAGATCAGGGTCCATCGTCATTTCGCATTCCCCTCCAGGTTCGCCATTGACTGCAGTATCTCCAAACTAGGCCGGATTGACGTGGGGTTACCGAAGCGAAGATGTCAACCCAATCGGTGGATGCTAAACATGGCCAAACTATGCCAAGCTCAGAAATTCCCACCGACATGAGCCAAATAGCAAAATAAGATATAGCTAGTATTACACTACTGTATCACACATCATCACAAGTATAATCACACCATGAATTTCAATCAATCAATTTCACCTGTCCACCGCGGCCCAATAGCCGGACCTTGCCCTGGAAGGTCTGGAACTGGCCGGGCCATCAGTGGCGATGGAACCTGCAAAGATGGACACTCGGTCGCTTTTGATTGTCAATTGTCTTTGGCTTGTCAGTCCAAGAGCATATGGAAAACAGAGACCTCATGTAGGAAACTAATTGTTTCTGCCTTTGACTTTGCTCACCACCTCTGGTGCCCAAAGAAACTGCTAGTCAGGAAATGCAGCAACTTCTGGATTTCTACCTGAAAGGCTGCTTTGGCTTGAGTACTTTGCATATTCAGTTTGCACTTTGCCGGGCTGGGAAGCCTGCCATGTGCAGAACATCTTTCAATTTCATGGCCATGAAGTGTGCTTACATAGAGGTGACTGAGTCAAACGGACGATGTCAACCATGGCGACAGTCTGTTGTGGGCAAGTTGCTTTATTCATAGATCCATTGAAGGGCTAGGAGTTTTGTAGAGCATGACTGCAACATACTACAACTACAAGAATTTAGTGCGTTACATCGAGGCCAGAGTTTCATGTAGAGCTAGCGCGGGCTCAAAAAAGACTATCTTAGGGCCACCTCCAGCTCATTGGTTTGAGTCCACATCCCGCCCCAACTAAGGCCAAGCTGAAGAGAAACAGAAGCAGGTCAAAGTGGACCAGGAGGCGATGAAATTGGCCATCCGCCCCTTGGCGTATCATCAAATGTGTGCTATGAGATGTTAGACACTTCGACTTCGGCTGTCGGAGAAGTTGGCTGGCGGTGGGGGGTTGCTTGTAAAGGTGAAGTGAATGGCAAAGCAACCCTATCTCTCTAGTTCTCCCTCTATTTGTATGTTTCTCTCTCTCTCTCTCTCTTTCTTTCTCTCCGTGTAAATATATGCGCGCGTATGTTATTTACAATTATATACATATACAGTATACAGTATATGTTTGTGTGTGTAATTATACCGGGTTGGTTGCCTGGTAAGGCTTAGCCTTGGCTTCCAATGATCATCACAGTGTTTGTAAGCTGCTGCAAATCGACCATATGATTTTGCTTCCTGCATGCCTAGCACAAATTTGGACTCTAGCTTCGGTTGGTCCAGCTCTTTTCAGTTGGTTGTGACGGGAAACGTTGGATCGTTTTGGCGATGTTTTGCAATCCTCTTTTGAGGTCATAACCAGGAAAGGCAGCAGCGCGAAGCACAGGAATGGGCTGCCTGGCAGGCATATGTTCTGCAGATGCAGGCTTGCCAGGGCATGTGAGTTGGAGAAGTGCCCAGACCCATAAATGCCAATCATGCCCCATTCATGCATTCCTGCCTTCCTTCCTTCCTTCCTTCCTTTCTACTTGCGGCATCTTCTACAACCGGACTGTGATTGCCAATTGCCTTCGACCCACTCCTTTGAGGGTGCTGGTTGGTGGAGATTCTTCCTAGCTAGGCGAGTCGAGAAGCACACAACAATGACTTGGGGGCAGTAGTAGAGGTCATGATTCCTCTTGAAGTGATGCTAGTGAGCAGTAACCTATGCCCGTGTGCCGTTGCTAAAAGGAATGTTTAAACAGTGGTCGTGCCAACGATGACCCAGTTGGCAATCCCGGCTGGGCCATGGAATTTGCTGCCAGGAGACCTACACCGCCTATGCCATGGCTGCTCAGCAAGCCTGGGAACAGCAGGCCACCTGGTTCTGGCAATGCGTGACCTACTGGAGATGATCAGACACGCGCATATCATCATGTTTGCGTGATAAACTTTGCATTTTGTTTGAACATGTTCATCAACAATGGTGGCGGCTTCCAAGAAGTCACTGTGGAATCAACTTCCAGATGCATCGGATGGAAATATATGGAAATTAAATAGCATACCATAGACTACCTTCCTGTGAGGATGGCTTGAGAGGATACTGAGGTAAAAAGAAACGCGATCCACAACCCGTATAGCCTGTTGGCACACAACGCAGAGGAGGATTTCCCTGCTTCAGGACTTTGGTTTTGGTTTCTTGTCCAGTTTCGTTGGCGGCATTTTTCTGACATTATCCTCTTCGGGTCTGGTATGGTCTTGCATTGGCCGCTTTGGCCATGGTGAATGGGCCTGATTCTTATCAGTCTCATTTCAACCCGAATCTTCGTAAATTGTGTCCTTCTATCTATGCTTTACCCCTTCCGGCGGTTGACTCAGTGTAGAGGGCAACGATGAAGTGAACACCCTCATTCTTTATCAGGTAGCGAGCTCGAGAGGCAGGCCCGTGTGCAAAAAAGAAGGTGACCATGTTTTTTGGGGGTGGTATAGTATGCCGGGGAATCCTGCCTCATACCTCCAACCTCCCTAAGTGGTGTGGCTCGTCCAGCCTCATTTGTTTTGATACATCGGCGCGGCTTAGCAGGTAATGCAGCAAATGGCCATGCAGCAAGCGCAGCCCATGCAGCAGTTCCCACAGCAGTGCCATGCCAGCATATTATTTCTGGAAATGTTTGGAGAGCAAATAATATGTGCGTGTGAGTGTGTGAGTTTGTTTGAGTGTGTGTGTGTGTGTGGGTGGGTGGGGGGGAGGATGGTTGTATATGCGTATGTCGATTGATACTTCGATGATTTGTATACTACCATTTCGATTTTGACTGGCTCGCCTTCCAGGCAGGACTTTAGAGCCTGCTGCTAAAGTAAAAAGAGTTTGTTCTTGGTAGTTGGTGTGCATGAGGGACCCGGGACCCATGTAGATTTGCACATACACTGGGGTGCCGAAAGTTGCGCTTCTTGACTTCTAAAACGGGACAAACCCTTTCCCCTTCGAATCCTACGTGCAACATGTCGACACCTAAGTTGCGGTCAGATTTCCACACCTGAAGCCTTATAAGTATTCTATATTTGAACGGGTGTGGAAATCTGACCGTGCTGCACCTGCCAGGCAAAATGGACGTGTCAATTCGATCCGCTATAGACCGCAAGTGTCATGTTGGAACAGAGTAAGAAGCATAAACTTTAGGGCCGGGTTCTTGAAGTAGTCACTAGACAGTACTTTTGTGGTTTGCTATGCTTTTGTGCATTTTCAAGCCCATGAGTGAAGTGGCGCGCGGAACTTGACATTCCATTTGCATCCATTTGCCAAAGCTTGACATTATGCACACGTGCCATTATGTTCCCTGCTTGTGCAGAGATGCACTCCACATTGAAGCAACTCGAGGTCCATGTATCAGAACCCGATGATGGGCCAGCAGATGGGCATGCAACAGCCGATGCACCAGATGCAACAGATGCAGCCACAGATGCAGCCAATGCAGCAGATGGCTCCGATGCATAGTCCTTGGGTGATGTACTACAACCAGCAGGGGCAGCCGTACTACTACAACGAGCAGACAGGCATTCTGGGGCTGGCTTGACCACTCTTAGCAGTTTTGGCGGACCCCCTCGTCCAAGCCATGCCCGGGGTTCGGCAGGGTGTCCCTTCACAGAAAGAGGGAGTCCTCCACTGTGGCACCTCCGCCTGTCCGGAATTGCTGTGGTGGCTCACCAGGTTCGAAAGAGAGGTTATTCCCACAAGCCACAGGCCTGTTTGACACCCGTTTCTGAATTCTGATGGATCTGATGGCCAGGCTGTGCAGTAGAGCTAGATGCCTTTGACACCACTTATAAGATCTTATAAGTAAACGACATAAGTGGTGTCCGCGGTTGATTGTTTTTTTGCGTTGGATGTTCAAGGTATTTGTACTGAATTTAGGTGTTTGTATGATGTTATTGTGTTTTATTTCCCGGGCAGAGCACAAAAGAGATGGAAACGGCTTTTGTGCTGTGCGGTTTGCATGCAAGCGTGCTCCAATGCTTCTCTCACGCGACCGGAGGCGAGCAAGTATGGCAATTGCCTCCTGGCGCCACCTGCAGCAGACAAGGCAATGCTCCTGGTGGATATGGCATGGGCGGAGGCTACCAAGATATGAATCAGATGTGGGGGGGCCAAATGGGCCAAATGCAGCAGATGCCCTATGGCTACAACCAGAACCAGCAGTCCTGGTATTAGTCAAGATTGGCCTTGGCCTCTAGCATTTTCCACACAGATGTCCAATGTTTAAAGCCTAGGGCTGCACGCAGCGAGCGTGCCCCAGTCAGAGTCTACATTGCCAGGAGGATCAGGGGCTGAAAGACAACTTCACGTTACTTATGGGGATGTGAGGGTAGTATAGTTAAAGTTATGGTAGAGTAGAAGTGATGAGTGACAAGTGGATTTTTGGACCCGGGGTTCCTTTCTGATGACCCCTTTCCACTTATGCTGGACCTAGGCGGCCAAGTGGAGCACGCACTAAGCCAAAACACCCAAAACACCAACACCAACATTGCAGTAGGGACTAATCCATGATGAGACGCAGATAGGTAACCCTGGGATATTCCCTACGAAAGGCTCCGAGACAACGGCGCATTATACATTTCCAGATGGCAGAGGGGCATTCAAAGGGCGTTTGAGACTTGAGCATTGCCCAAACCTGCTCAATTAATTTAAATCGGATTGTACACGTGGCATTGGTTCACCATGGTTTGGATGTGATGACACATTTGCAATCACACAGCTTATTCCTGACATCAACGAACTATGCATATATGTCAAAGCGTCACTGTGTTGGCATAGTGCATGGAACTAGTCTTGAGGGTTTGACTTCAGCGCCTGACAGCTTCTGCCAGCGTGTAGTTGTAGGTTATAACGAGCTGGGGATGGGTACAAGTGGTCATTCGCTTGCAGAATTGTTCAACATCAAAATTGCCATTAAAGGCTGAAAATTTCGCCGGAGTCCCCAATTTGGAGCGATATGTGTATATATCTTCACTTTACATAGAGTCTCGACAGCCGCATAAGATTGGCCTTTGAAAGAGGAGAGGATCGCGAAGCGCAGCAGAGGGATCGGTGCGGAATGTTGTACCAGTGCTTTGGTTTGGCTGGACGAGAGCTAATATGCTGCAGACTGACTGGTCCGAGGGGCAATTATACAAGATTATCAGAAAGCAACCAGCAGACGCTTGAATTGCTGGAATGTTCGTTGTGGTTGTTGGTCGTGGCGGGTAAACACACCCAATGACAAGTGGCCCAGAACTTTGATCTATCCGTTCCGTCCATTCATCAATTTGTTAAACTATATAGAGGTCACCTGCGAGATTGCAACGGCAAGGCGTGTCATTGCATGGATTGTGCGGAACCGTTTTGGCCCGAGCTTGTTGTTCCGTTGTCAATAGATACTTTGCATGCCGACCCCTGACCACATCCATCCAGCTTTTCAATCCTTGCAGCGTTCAGGGAGCCAGTTGTCAGTCCTGGTTGACCTTGAGACCGCACTGTAAATATCGCGGAGCCAATCGCGGAGCCATGACAACACATAATCTCCAGCACACTTCCTTGCAGTTGAAGTTTGCGAGGAGCTGCCACACGCATACCAAAAGACACCAAAAGCACCCAACAGATCCCAACAGTACAGCATTTCACCTGCAGCCATTTGCAAGATGGAGGCCATGGAGAACACCGCGCGGCCTTGAGCTGAGCTGGCTAGGGCTAGGGTAAAGGGAAATTCGGTGGTTTTCAGTTAACTTGGGTTTTACACCACGCCAGGTTGACCGTGTTGAATCCTAAGTCACTGATAGCCACAGAAGTTCCAAGGGTTTTTTTTGAGGGCCGCCATACCTGAACCCAATTCATAGCAGGCGATCAACCCAATCCACTGCACGAGACACAAGGACCCTCAGAAATCCAATCCTTGAGGGTGCAGTTTTATTTGCCAGCTGCTAGCTAGATCCTCAGCACACCTGATTTTCGCAGGTCGGAAAGGTCGGTCCTAGTTTTGGAGTAAAGGAGCGGTTTGTCAGGTGCTACAATCGTTGGCCGCCACATTTGTGATGTGCCCGAAGAGTCGAAAAGTCATTTTTCTGCAGGTATGCTTGCACATATGATCATAATTGTATACTATATGGTCTTCATTTACGAGGAAACCCACCTGGATGTTGAGAACGTCTCTTCCAAACCAGTCGCAGTTGCGTTGTTCTTGGACGATGTCCTCGACATGTTTTGATCGCCAGAGGCGACTGGCTGGGCCACGCCTGCACCAGCAAGAAGGCGTCAGCTTTGGGGAGCTGCCTGGGTGGTAGCCATTCTTGATGGAAAAAGCGCTCGAGTGAGTTCTGTGACTCCGTGTTTTCATGGATGATCATGGATGGGATGCTGTGCTGCTGTACCTTGTGGCAAATGCCTGGGGAGGAATGGCCATGCTCCAATGTATAGATAAGGACCGTTTCTTGGGAGGTTCAGTTGCTTTGAGATGTTGTGTGTAGCACGCTAAAGTGGCTTCGTGTGACGCAATGCTTTCACAGCTGATCCAAATTTCGTCAGCTTTGCTTCCTCAAGCACGCATCCGTCCATCCAGCCTAGACGCCAAAGGCCACATCTCGCTTCGCAGTGACTGACTATTTTAGACTCTAGACCTTGGAGCCATGCTCGTAGACATTCAGGCACTACGAGCTTCTTTGCAGAACAAGAAGTTCCACCAGAAAGAGCAGTCATTGCTGAAGATGATTCAACAATGTGAAGCGATCCAGCTTCAGCACCAAAACCTCCTTGCAACAGCCAAGGACCTCGCAGAAGTCTTTCAGCTGAAGGTGGGTCCTTTCCGTTTAGCGGCAACAGCATTCGACACAGTAGCTTTCATCTCTGAGCAACTTGCACTCCAGGCTGGAGGCTTTGCTGAAGAGCTGGTCATCACGCGGCGTGGTAAGGCATTGCCAAGAGATGCCACTCTTTCATCACTTGGGATCTCAAAAAAGTCCAAATTGGCCTTCACGAACGTGGGCTTCTACATCAATGTAAAGACCATGACAGGCAGGACGGTTTGTGTGGCTGGGATCGACCCTAGCACAACAACAGATCAACTGAAGTTGCTTATTCAAGAGAAGGAAGGCATACCTCCAGACCAGCAGCGTTTGATCTATGCTGGAAAACAGCTTGAGGATTGTCGCATCCTTGCGGACTATGACATTCAACAAAAGGCAACATTGCACCTGGTCTTGCGTCTTCGAGGGGGCATGTATGATGAAATCTCTGGTCGCGAAGGCTTTGAGGATTTGAAGCTACAGACCTCACAATGCAACGAATCTGATCGGGTGGAAGAGTTGCTTGAACGCTTGGAGACATTGCAGAAGAAGAACGAGGAAGTACAGAAAGAGGCGAGGATGGTGGGGGTCAAAGATGCACCGATTTTTGTTGAGAGGAAAAAACATGATCCCCCTGCCCGGTTTACCACAGAGGGGTGGACCAACCCATTCTTGAGAGAATTCTTCAACAACAAAAAAGAGATTACCAGACTCCAGTTGTGGACTCAGTTGATCAGCCAGGTGGCCATGTGGATGTCGAAGGCCATGTCTGGTCATCGAGCCTGAGAGCCGGATCCACAGCTGAGCGATATTTTGCTGGAAGCTCATCTTCCAATCTCTGAGACGCTGTATTGTTGTTTCGCCCACGTAAGAACATCCTCTTCTAATACTCTGGCGGTTATGATGATGCGCCACCAAAATTGGTTGGAGCTGTTGGAGCTCTTCGTTGGCCCCATCAAGTCCCAAGCAGACTGACGATCCCAGTCCATGGGATGGGTTCAGGTTTGATCCATGTCCAGCTATATGCGTATAACACATAAGATATATTCATTGAGGTGCATGTTCTGGGTATTCACCCACGGTGAGTCAGTGAGAAAAATAGGCATCAGGTGCCATCAAAGACTCAGGCAGCAGGCAATAATAGATGAAGCCTCCTGGCTAGCCACTTTTGCAGCTGTGGATTTTAGTGCATGCCCTGCCCAAAGTAGGTTTCTTTGTGTCCGTGTTGAAAGACTCAGGGAGAACTCCCGTGGTTTGAAAAGTCAATGACTCTCGGTCGGGAGTAGCTGGGTTCCACACGATCCTCAGATGCTTCGGCGTGACAGGAACAGATGCTCCGGCGTCAGGAAGAGCTCCGTTTTGCCCCGGAAACCTTGGAGCGGATGCGCTCGTGCACCGCTTCGAGTGGAGAGTGGTTGGATGTGGTGCGGGACTTGCAACGAGAAGTGGCCATCGAAACTCTGCTCTGGCTGGATGCTGGTAGTGTCTCAAAGTGGACCCCCCCAAATCAAGGTAATTATATAAGGAGGGCCATTTAATTTTGGATTTGTTTTTGTTTCCTTTTTTGGATGTTTTTTGTTTTTCGTGGCTTCTGGCTTCTGTGGCTTCTGCCTTTTGTGGCTTTTGGTTTCTGTGGCTTCTGGCTTTTGTGGCTTTTGGCTTTCGTGGCTTCTGTGGCTTTTGGCTTTTGTGGCGTTTGTGGCTTTTGGCTTTTTGGCCTATCCATCTATCTGTCTATATCTATATATCTAGGCCCAGGTCTACCAGGTGCCGATGAAGCACGTAACGGAGAGAGACCGAGTTGCCATCTATCTATCTATCGATCTATCTTTCTTTCTTTCTATTTCTATTTCTTTCTTTTTGGCAGCTGTTCTCCTTTCTCTTTTTGCATTTGCTTTTCCTGTTGTTTTCGTTGCAGAGACGAAACCACAAAAGCAAGCAAGCAAGCCAGCCAGCAAGCCAGCCAGCCAGCCAGCAAGCAAGCAAGCAAGCCAGCAAGCAAGCCAGCAAGCAAGCAAGCAAGAGCTGCTCACCTTTGGATCTGGTGTGCTGCTGGGGGGCCCCCCCCCCAACCCCCCCGCGCCAGGAAATCTGCACTTCATCCCCGACACCCGCGCCTGCCACGAAATCAATATTTTAAGGTGAACACCCCCGTGCAAAACTTTCTAACCAAGCAAATATGTCTCTATCTATTTATCTATCTATCTATATTTCTTTCTTTCTAGCTTTCTATCTTTCTATTCTATCTATCTATCTATCTACCTACCTACCTATCTATACTATGTATACTATTTTTTCTATGCTATTTATCTATACTATCTTTCTATACTATCTATCTATACTATCTATCTATACTATCTATCTATACTATCTATATTATCTATCTATACTATCTATCTATACTATCTATCTATACTATTTATCTATACTATCTATCTATACTGTCTATCTATACTATCTATCTATACTATCTATCTGTACTATCTATCTATATTATCTATCTATACTATCTATCTATACTATTTATCTATACTATCTATGTATACTATCTATCTATACTATCTATCGATACTATCTATCTATACTATCTATCTATACTATCTATCTATACTATCTATCTTCACTATCTATCTATACTATCTATCTATACTATCTATCTATACTATCTA